TTCCTAGGCAAAAAGAAAAAATGGCAGACTTCTGTCTTGCCAATATGGCCACATCTGAGCTTGTGTTCACAGGCAAAAAGCAAATCGGGGACAGCAAGACCAGAGATCCACCTCAGCGTATCGAATGACATGAGTTTTGTGAGGCTGGTGTGGGCCGAGTCAGTGGTCATTGTGCCCATGATCCTGGCCGTGACAGTATACCTTAGAATTGCGGTACTTTGCACAGCCCTGTCTTAAACTGTCTGAGAAACTGAAGGAGGTGAAGACAAAGTGTAAGAACCATAACGCTCAGAAGAGGTGCAAGAGAGCAACTAGTTACGCTGGGATTGTGCCGAAAACTGACATAGTTATGTAACACAACAGTCCGGGTATGCAGACAGAGTCTCAACAGCTCTGCGCTGCAGCAAAACGAGACTGGTTGCCTGGTTACAAATATTTGGACAGGAAAAGTAGGCCAGGCTGTGTTTTGGGTGGGGGCAGGTCATGTGACGAGGGTGAGACTTTCCTGAAGGCAGCTTCTCACGCTGCTTTAAGAAACGGATGCAAAGCCCAGAGGATTCATGGCTTGTGTAGTTTTTATATGGTTCCTGTTAATACCTATACTCTCCTGTTTTTTCTCACATACAGATACATGCCTACCAGAAAATCAGAAACTTTATTTATGCAACCCCTCACCAGATTCAAACCAGTCCCCAACACAACCCATGGAAAATCTTACTGAATAAGAGACAAGTCTGTTTTGCTCATTGTACATGGGCAAACATACACACATACGACACAGACTGTGCTAACTCAAAACAGAAGATGCATAGAGCCAGGACTGGGACAGAACACATATAAACTGGATGTGATTTGCCTAATTCTCCTCATGGTCACGACAAGATTGACAACTCAGCAAAAAGTCATGTCTTCCTGTGACTGCGGGGTGGGGGGCATTATGCTGTGGTTCCTCACTATTAACACAGGTGCTTAATTGTCACACACCTTTTATACAGCAATAACACCCTTTTAAGATGACTACTTAGTTTATTAATATTTCATTTATTTCTTGGTAGAGCATTTTTTCAGAATAAATCGGATGTCAATCCTATAGATTTCAGTTAAGCATTCCTAACACTAATCCATACTGCTGCAAGGCAAGATCTATTTGCAATCTAATATCACACCCTACGTTAACATCTACGTCATTGCATTTGAAAGGATTTAAATAGTCATGCGTAGTTCAAATATAGATTTAATGAATTATAGATTTGCATTTAGTATACAATGAAAATATATATAGAGTGGAATTTACAAAGAACAATGTCAGGCCCATTTCCACGAGATTAGAGGACAATATGTTTATGGAGTTTAACTTTTCTTTCCAAGTTGAGCAGTTTTCCTTCCGCAGTTAAAAAAAAACATGCATTTAAGGTTAATTATCATCTGTAAATTTCCCGTACTGTGTGCATTTGTAATTAAGTGGCACACACTATACATAAATAGCATCACTAAAGCGTGAACATTTGTCTTAGCTATGAAATACCGTCAGCTTGCAGCATTTATACTTGCATCCATTTTCTGTAACCGCTTCGTCGCGGGAGGTCCGGAGCCAAAGGGAGGAAGGCAGGGAACAACCCAGTACGGGGCGCCAACCCATTGCAGGGCACTCACGGGTAATTTAGTAACTCCGGTTAGCCTTACCATGTTTTTGGACAGTGGGGGGAAACCGGAGTCCCCGGAGGAAACCCCACGACGACACGGAGAGAACATGCAAACTCCACACAACATGGAACCCTTGCGGAGACTCGAACTCAGGTCGCAGAGGCAACAGTACTAACCACTGAACCACAGCATTAAAACTTATCGTTCCTGAACTGTTTATATGTGCTACACAACTGAATACATGCACACAACATATGTCAATAAACTTTGTTAAACTACACATTATTCACAGACTAAAAGTAAATATATTGCTATAAACAACGGAAGAAGTAACAGCTGTATAGAACGGAAATGCTATTTTAGCTAGCTTAGCTTATCAGCAAGAAATATACTCCAAATCGTCTCCCAGCCTGTTGTTCTTGGGGTCACAGGCGTTGCAAATTTTAGGCACAAGCATGTTAATTGTTGCAACACTTCAGTAAAACCTGAGTTTGTCCAAGTGCCTTTGGCGGTACTATCTGATTAGTTTGTGTATACGATTCGACAAACGCTAACGCTTACGCTTGTCACTCAAACTCTTTGTGTCCCTCCCCGCGCCCGTTACTACGGAAACTGGTTGCTAAGTGACAAAAACAAAAAAAGACCCAACTCGAACGTCTTAACGTCAGGCGTTTTGTAACGGCGTCGCTATGGCAACACAACGTTGTGTACACATGCAGACTCGTTGTGGTAGAGAGGGGCTGGAATAAAATCACATGGCGCCGAGTGGCGAAGCTTTCGGATGAGTTCTAATAATATTAGTACATGTATTCAAATTACTTTCAGCAGTATTTTAAACAACTAAATAATGGTGAATGCATGCTCACTTATGTTTCTTCCGGAATTCATCGTGCGTTTAATTACGTTTAGTTTAACCCAAAGCACGACAAAATGCAGTAATAGAGCAACACAGCAAATTCCCTAGTTGCTTACGTATTGTTAATTTCGTTTAATGTGAACAGCTATACTGGGTTCTTACATTGTCGTTTTCGGGGGGTTTTAGATTATTTAGGAGCGGATTTAGATGACAAAGAGTAACAAGTAGCAATGTTGATTTTTATGACAAGGCGTACAGTAATATTCTCGCTGAACTTGAATATACCAGGACTAGGCCGTTACTTTAGGCCAATAGATTTAAACATACTTGCATGTTATCTCACTGACCCAAAATGCCCAGCTGCAGACCCAGTTTTGTCCCGTAGTCGTGTGAAAGGCATTGCATGAGGCATGACGTACTATTCGCCAGCGCTGCACTGCGTGGAGTTTGGGCAACCGGTTTAACGGGGCACAAGACAGTCGGCTGGGCTGCTATGATCTCACTCGTCGATCTTTCACGAACATCGGCTATCCGGATTACTCATCTCGATTGAACACTGACACAGGACTGAACGTTCCCCGTCGGTGACGTTGCTTAGCTGAGTAATTGTTGTTACCCCCTCTCGCTCCTAGCGCTGTTACACGCGCGAATACACGGTCCCCTCCCAGTGACATTTCGCGGCATTTCAATTATTTTTTTATTTTTTTTCCACCCAAGTTGTTCAGCATTTGTCTATCTGCAGCCCCCTTTCCACCTCCCACCTGCCATATTCTCTACGAAGTACTTAACAATGAATCACTATCTGTCCGTTGGAGTTCGGAAGCGGATGATGCTATATTGACAGCATCATTGGCTATTATTTCCGTCATTCCAACCCACTGCCCAGGTTGAAGCGCTATACACGAGAGTCTGTTTACGTGCACATTTCTTGTAAAACATCCAGCTGAAAATAAAAACAATCCTGTGCTCTTTCTTCGAGATCTACAATTTTTCTCCAGTGGCACATTCTCCAGAAAGTAGGTACAGATTAGGCTACATGATTTTCATTTATGACACGCGGGCATGGAAAATGAATGGATTGATGGATGGATGGATGGATGGATGGATACACACATAGACATAAACAAAAACATATGCTACTTTCAGTTAACTTTTACGCTATATCGATGTCAAAGAAATCCGTCAAGGATCAACATAATTCATTTCAAACTATTAGAGATATTCTATTCATCGATAATTCAAAAGGTTTAACAGTTTAAAAGGTACATTGATCCTTAACAATATTATATTCTATTTGTAACGCACCTGAAAATACACGTTTTTCTCCTTATCGTATAAATGAAACAAGTCAATAACGGTGATGTTAGTTTTAATTCACGGCTCCGATAACATGAAACGTTTGTCAATCTAATTGTTAGTTTTAATCAAAAACTTTAGCATGGATCAATGATAAACGACAATAAATGAGTACCAGCGACAAACAGCGGAGGTTTGGTTACTATAATGATGAAACGCGGAAATAGCCTATATTATAAGGGGTTTACCCTTCGCTATAGGCCTATACGCATCAAATAAACATGTTTCAGTAAAACACATATTTTAAGCAATTACAATAAGCGATTTCAATTACTGATATTTTTGTATTTTCTTCAAAATTTACCTCAGCAAGTGTTTTATGAAGAATCGATACGCCCAGTGTAACGCAGTGAATCAAACTGCACAGAAGCGAGCACTGAATGCTCTGGGACTCAAAAAAGGCGTGTCCCTGAATGCGTTTTTTTTAAAGAGAGTATCCATAGTTTACTACCGTCAAGTTCTCGTATTTCATCTCACCTACAAAACGTGGCAGAGAACGATACAAAGCGCATTCAAGGTCACAAAATGTGTAAATGGTCTGTCTGCTGATGCAATATAAAATGAATATATGGTACATATACCTGGTACATAAAGTTTTTTTCTATTCCTTCTCTCTGAATTAATGACATTAATATAAAATAAAGCATATCTAACTAATAGCAATAAGAATCATAGTCATATAATAATGATAGCGACAGAATTCGTGACGCTAATACTTAATTCCTTATTATAGGGTTTTAATAGTGTAATGGGTTAATTACAGCAGCATTTATATTTACAACGACCGCAGAGGAAATCAGTCAGATAACCTCTGCTACTTCAACAGACGTAAAGCTAACATGGTTTCGTTTCTCAATGTTTCCTCTTAACAGGACGTAAACAAAGAATTTCGTTAAAAGTACAAAGTAAAACACGATAGTTCTCTTTCATTTTCCTTTAAAAAGTGGGAAATCTCTAGTTGCTTTGATAGTAAAAGTTTCTATTATTAACCGCCCGCGAGCCCTGTACCATTTCTGTGGGAGAGGGAATCCCTAAACGTCATCGCCTTGGATACCAAACAAAAATATAGACATATATGGGCATGTACGTCATCGGAACACCGAGGGCGGAACTAGGAGCTCCTACAATGCTTCGTGTTCAGTCCGATTCATTCATAAAGACGAGGCGCCGCTACAGTGGACTGTGCTACTATAAAGTGCGTCCGACAGACAAACAGGATTATTATCTGGATTTATAAACACCTGCATACCTTTTTATTACTTCTGACCAAAGGAAAATCATATTAGTGGATCGTCTTTTGTCTCGCATCAAGGAATTTATACAATAAAAATCATCCCGGAAACTTGAAGGAATTTACTATAAACACAACCTGGATTGCCTTCTTAATGCAACTGTTTTGGACGGGAATCGAGAGCATCTCACAGGAGTTCAATAAAGAAACTAGAGGAGGTAATTTTTAATGTTATTTATTATATGAACATAGCTAACGTAATGCATCGAGTCATCACATTTTGCAGTTATTCTTAAAGTACACTTAAATGACATTTGTTCGAGTAGGCTACTTTTGTCGCGTACAATTCATAAAAAAGCGGAAATATATCTCCTACTGCCTACCGAAGAAAGTGCTCATTAACAATACATTTCATTATATAAAAACTCAAATACACTTAAGTATTCCGAGACGGTGGAATGTTTCTGTACCTGGGAGTTTATGTGCATGCGTGTGAGAGTAATGTCACACAGCTGATTTTTCCCCGGAATTGCAGGTGTCTCGGCGTCTCTCTGCTCCCCCAGGGAGATGTTCCAAGGCTTCCCCGGCGACCTCGATTCCGGCTCCCGCGGTAGCTCTTCTCCGTCTATCGATTCCCAGTACCTTTCTTCCGTGGAATCCTTCGGCAGTCCACCGGCCACTAGTGCACAAGTAAGACAGCTTTCTTTCATTACGCTCTTAGAAACCAGCACGGATAGCAATGTTGAATTGTTCGAAATAAAATAATTATGTAAGTAGCAATTATGTTGATGTCCGCTCGTCACGTTTGGGTTGCATTTATTAATTCGAATAGTTTTAAGTACTAAATGAATCAAGATAAACTGATTGCTAGAATGCGGTTGCAGAAGATGCGTACTTGCAAAATCTGCTAGTTTACGAATGGAGATATGCTGTCTACCAGCACCATTACGGAATTCGCATTAGTTCGGTGTTTTAAATTTTTACATAGTCAAGCATATATTTAGCATCGTGCGCTAAAAGAAGGAAATTCGTACACTTCGTTTTTATTATCACGTTTCGCATCAAATATGTGTACTATATGAGAAAGAATTCTATGTACATTGCTTCGGTTCATTCCGATGCAATCAACTCGCGTATAATGTACGTTACAGCTTCTAATTTTAGAACCTAACCCGCGAGGAAGGATAACGGATTATTTTTTTGTTGAACGTCTCCGAAACTTATTCCACTTTTTTTCTGTTTCCACTCTTCCATCCTGAGAAAAAATACGGTTCGCTTTACGTTGCGGAGGTTGACAAGTCAGCAACTAAAGGCTACAGAATCTCACGGCAACGTGTTAGATTTCCAACACGCTACGCAACGGATGACAGCGCCTCGGAACGCGCTGACTGACGCTCGCCACGCGCACGCACGCTCCGCCCTCGCTAGGCTTTCTCAGCTCGCAGTTGCTTCGCGAGGCTCGCTGTGACGTACATGCTTTCTATTTTGGAGTGTTACGTCGCGTTGCTAAGGGGAACCCGGAGGGGGGGAGGAAAGGAGGAAAGAGGAAGGGGGGATTATTCGAGTTTTGATTGGTTTGTGCGCGGTCCCCGAGAGCTCGTACCCCGTCCCTCATACGCTTTTAGAAGAATGTTAATTAAGTCCGAGCTCAATGCAGTATAACGAATTGCTTATGAGCTAAATTAAGCACCTCCAGGAATGATTTAGGGTTCCGTATAATTTATTTATTTATTTTAGCGCGTAATGCAGACGGCGTGCTATATTTGTCCCTTGCTGTACCAGCTATGCGGATTCATATACATTTGCTATTTCAGTCGCAGGAATCCGCTTCTCGATTGTGTTACACGGAAACGAAAAAAATAAATCTTTTTCTATGCTATAACTTACCTTCAACTTATTAACAACATGTTAACATTTCCGATGTCTTTCAAACTCTTGCGTTCTTGTGCATTTTGTGCGTTATTCTGTATGTGTATTGACTCAAAATACATACATACATATATATATATATACATACATACATATAATGTATATTTAAAAATAGGCCTATATATAAATATAATGAACGTCTTTTGCAAAACAGCAGTCAAAAAGCATAATCATTAACAAACACACAACATAAAGCAAGATGGCCAGACTTCCTAAAAACAGCAGCTGTGGCACTCTTGAAGGTATCCAGTATTGACTCATATTATCAGAGTGTCTTAAATGTATTTTGAATACATTTTGTATATGTACCATGGCAAATGATGAATATATAATTTGTTTAGATGACTCATAAAATGAATATAAATATATTTGCATTCATTTGGATGGGCCTAGGCTATCAATCTCTTGTTTTAGTCACATTTGTGTTTGTGCACGCAGGAGTGTGCATCTACTGTGGGCGGAGCAGTGGTGGGCAGTGGGAGCTGTGGGGGTGGGGCTGGAGTGGAGATGCCCGGCTCCTTCGTGCCCACAGTGACGGCCATCACCACCAGCCAGGATCTGCAGTGGATGGTGCAGCCAACCCTCATCTCCTCTGTGGCGCCAGGCCAGAGCGGCACAGGAAGTTCCGCTATGCCCCAGGCAGCCTCGCTTGACCCGTATGACCTACCAGGCCCCAGCTACTCGTCCGGGCCCTCCTTCCCTGCCCCCAGCGGTGACACTCCGGGGCCTATCCGCCAGTCCCGTACGCGCAGCCGGCGAACAAGAGATGAGACTGTGAGTGGAGGTGGCTTGAGGGCTTTAGGGGGGGTGCCATGATGATTCTCCCCAGTTCTTGGACCTAACTCATAATCCTGCAGTGATTTCATTTTTCTCATGTATTACGTTCTAAGAGTGCACATATAAAACGAAATTATATATGGAATGAGGTGTAAAATTTTGCACGCACACCGCACGGCTACTACTCTGTTGCTCCTTGTTAGTGTAAAGAAACTAAACTTGGTTGGCCATCCCCCCCCATTACATAGCTCACCCCGGAGGAAGAGGAAAAGAGGCGCGTGCGTCGTGAGCGAAACAAGCTGGCTGCCGCCAAATGCCGGAACCGGCGCCGCGAGCTAACAGACAGGCTGCAGTCGGTGAGCCCCATCACACGTACCCGTCGGCACGGCCACGATAAAAATCATGTTATATAGTAATTGCATTACGCTAATTATAAAATAGGCTTTATGATAATTAGCGGGTGTCAGTAATAATTACACGGAAGAAAATAAAGAGGTTCATGATTATGATTAGGGGATCCTTAGTAAGGAGGACTGTTATTAGGGTGGCGATTATGCTCCCCTACTTTATTTTTGTCAGTCTCTCACTTTCTCTTCCCGCTGCCACATCCCCTGCAGGAGACAGACATATTGGAGGAAGAGAAGTCAGAGCTCGAGGCAGAGATCTCGGAGCTGCAGAAGGAGAAGGAGCGTCTCGAGTTCGTTTTGGTTGCCCATCAGCCTGGTTGCAAAATCCCGTACCACGAGGAGCAGGTGCCCTCGCAGCTCCCGCAGCCCACGCAGCCGCAACAGCCGGCTGTGTCCATCGTGGGCCTGACTGTGAAGGAGGACACTTTCTACCTGCCTCCCGCCTACACCCCCCACCCCTCTGCGCAGCCACCGCAGCCCGTGCAGCCACCGCAGCAACAACCGGGGATGATGCAGGAGGTAGCCTTTTCTAGTTCTTTCTATGCGCAGAATGAGCCTACAGTGGGCGGCCCGTGCCTGGTGGCCGATGCTGGTACTCATGACATCGGCAGCTGCAACCCCTCATTTGTCTTCACCTACCCAGAGGGAGCCTGCGGGGTCAGCGCAAACCAGCGGAACAGCGGCAGTGATCAGTCCTCTGATTCCCTGAACTCTCCCTCCCTACTTGCGCTTTAAGAAAACCCCGGGGACACACGCGCACGCGCGCGCGCAGACAGCCGTACACGCACACGCCAATAATGCCCCCCACCCACGCGCACGGACACGGTAGGACCACGGTAACGGCGGCAGCAGGGGGCGACACACGAAGCCCCCGTCCCTTGACACGTAGGCCTATACACAGCTCCGCGCGTACGGATACACAAATCCACTGAAACGCAATTAGCCTCGTGAAAACTCAACCCCAGTCAATAGTCTCATTGAGTCATTTAATAATGTACAACAATAAAACAAGTTTGCTCACTGAAAAAAATAGTAGCTTTCGTCCTGCCGCTGTTTTGTGTGTATTCTTCATATAATCGAACCAGTGCCCATCTATGCAGTTAATGAATTGTAAATAATTCTCACTCCTCGTTTGCATTTCTGCGGCTTCCGTATAGAAAGAAACTTTATTTATTTGCTAAGCAAACGATCATGTTGCGAAAAGTCCTCCCCATGTTTTGGTTGCAGCTTCCGAAACCACTATAGCTTTTCGCTACTGCAGCTTTTAGATGTTACACGTTGCTGACGAGATCTGTCAGCTTTTATGGATGACTTTGAATACCACCTCGAACCTCATACAAACGCATATTCATGTCAATCGCGCATAGAAGCACAAATGCAGCACTTATCCGCTCCCATTTCCCCCTCCTGTTCTGCTCCTCCTCTCCTCTCTCCTGCTGGGCTAGTTCTCGTGGTGGCTTTCATAACTTTCTGTCTTTCTCTGCCTCTCCGTGCTGACTGTACAGAATGTATTTGTTTAAATGGGAATAGGAAAAAGACTTTTTTTTCGAACAGACTGCAAACCAGTCCCTCACTCCACCCACCCCGTCCATCAAAGTCCACTGTGTGGCTTCTTCTCCATTCGATCGGACATGGAAAGGGGTTGACCGTATCCCTGCCCCCGTTCTATTTTTTTTCCTCTGTCCATCTCCCCCATCTCTGTTTCTTCTGTCTCCCCTTTCCTGTCTTTCTGTTTTTCTCCGTCTCTGAAGTCCTCGGCCCCTGAGAGCCCACCGGGCACTTCCAGTTCCTGGGACCTCGACTGAGAGCCAGCTATGCCCTCTGCCACGCCCCTGCCGTCCCCCAGGCCACGCACTGTCTCGGAAGAGCTGCAGGGAGTTTCGCAAAAGCAGCAATTTCAGTTCGGCAAAAAAAAAAAAAAAAAAACCGGAGCAAAGTTCATGCAAAGTGGCGACGATCCTATTTAAAGGGAACCTTTGGATGCGCGACAAACAAAACGCAAAAAAAAAACCAAGCAAAAGAGACTTTTGTTTTAATGCTGTTTCGCATAGGGTGGGAGACTGAATCAGGAGCAAAGAGGCGTCTGAAATTGAAGTAATGGACGAAATCTAACATTAAAAGAGTGAGTGAAAAGGGGAAAGGAGCAACGCAGGAAAATGCAGCAAGCAAGAGGGAAATCATTCTATTTTCATCCGTAAACCTTCCACTTCACCTGCGACATTCTGGGAAATACTGCAGCCCTGCTTGACAGCCCCAGCTCCATGCTCATGCGCACTTTTACCACCGTCCTCTGATAACCGTGTCATTCATTGTCCTTTGCTTTGGTTTTTTTCCCAAGTGTTTTTTTAAAAATGTTGTTGTTGTTGTTATTATTATTAATAATTATTATTTCTAGTTTTGCAGTTGTTTTGTATTTGTATTACTGGTGGGAAAAAATGCCAAAATGTGGCTTATTTGATGGTAATAAGGAAAAGGGGGGAGGGCCAATACCATTTCCGTCCCCTTTGCTTGTTTTGTATGACTTTATTGTTGTTTGTATCTCCGTTTGCCGTCGCTCAGCAAGGCTTTTGCAAAATTTTTCAAGAAGTGTTTTTTAAAATGTCAGAGTTGAAAAATTTTTTTTTTTTGAAGCTTCTCAATGTTTAGGGAAGCGGCCTCAGTGTTTCCTGAATGCCTTCCTCAAACGCACCGCCCCTGGTATTAGCAATGAGGGGAATAAGGCTTTTGATTGGCAGGATGATCTGGCGGCCGCCACGCCCCTTTGGTTTCTTTCTGGGAGGCTAATGAGGAAAACGGTGACGGACACCCAGATGGAGAGAAAAGAAAAAAAAGTGTATTTTTGGTGTATGTACTTGGAATTTTTTCTGTGAACTTGTTTGTTTTTTGAGTTTGAGCGAGCGAAATGACCTGTCTCTACTCGAAACTCTTGCCTGATTTTGATGCTGCCGAACAAATGGGACCTGAAGCTTCTTGGTGTTCATGTTATTATCTTATATACTATTACTGCTATTGTTACTATAATTTTAGTAATATACGTTTGGCAACTTCAGAGGCACGTCTTGCACTTTGGACATTTTTTATACGTTGAAGCAAATACTTAAGAATACTATATGCATATATATACATGAATGTGTGTATATATAGGTATATATACAGTGATTGTAAAGTGTGAATGTTTGGAATAAGAGTAATTTAATGTTTTCTCAATGAAGAATATGGTTGAGGATAACAAAACGTTCACGGTTTGTTTAGATATGAATATTTTTCTAAAACAAGAAAATAGATGAATAGAGGAAAACTTTTCCATAAATATGAAAAGCTTTTCACTGCCTAGGCCCTTGCTTTGTGTTTAAATGTGTACACAGATATACATATATATATTAAAAATATATACTATAAATGTATGTATATATAAAGAGATTATGAAGGTGGTCACTGTTTTTTTTTTTTGTCTGTTGTGATCACAGTTTCCTCACAGCTTTGGAACTGGCAGTGTGCTATCACTGTAAATATGCATCTCACAGGTGTCACAAAACAGAAAAATAATCCTGAGTCAGGTGCTCCAAGTCATATTCTCGTACTTAAAAGGTATCTTCAACAAGAAAAGAAAACGAAATTTCTGTTGGAAACTTGGGTTGTACATTTGTTCTGCTTTTGTTTTGTTTTATCAGATGTGCTTTGATTAGTACAAAGTGAACTATTTTACTACGATGCTAAGCTGATTTTCCATAGATGTTTTTGTCGTTATATTTTTAACTTCTACCAGACATTTGTTGGACGGTAGCTATATGTGATGGTCTCTGCTTTCCAGGTAAATCCACCAGTTTTTTTTCCAGACTGGAAATTTAAACTTGTATGTAATTAAACTTGCATGTGGGGCCAAAGAACAATGGAAAACAGAAGGCCAGAGGCCCAGACAGCCTGACTGTCATCTTCAGGAGGCCAATGTATTGTTAAAGAACCACAGTTCAGCTTCATTTCAGTTGTTTTAGCGGGCCTTCCCTTTAAGATGTGAAGTGCTTCTTTAGGGATTTATTTGAATCCCTTTCTGTTAAAAGTTCTTTGTAGATAATTATTATTCAGCACTAGTCAGACCTTTCTCATAAAAGTAAGCATAATAACTAGCAAAGCTACCAGAGATAAGTTACATCTGCATTATTTCAGCACAGTAAATCATAACAGACCCCAGAAATGAACATGTGCCTTTGTGTGTTTTTTTTGTCATATTTATATGATCATTATTATTATAAATAATTAGCAGGCTATTATGAATCTTCCTGCCTGCCCATTTCTAGTCTATGAAAAATGGTGGATTTGATCTGGATTTACAGTACAATGTGAAATTCCAGACTTGTGGCTCAGGCGTCTGCTACACGAAAATAGACCAGCTTTACGGACACGCGCACAAAGACGAATGCATACACAGACTCATTTGAAATGCTGGAAATAGTGGTGGAGACACGTTCTTAACACATAATAATTCAGACCTCTTGAAGGAGCCTAGTTTTACTCATGTTTTGAATAAATTAGGCCAGGAACTGTCATTTTAAATCTATGGCCTGGTTCAAAGGCCTTGTTCTTTGAATGTTATAAAAATGTCTTCATGACTATTGGTGCTTTGCTAGAAGATAACTTTCATGCCCAAACTCTATAAAGCATTTTTGGGGTTGTGTAGGATTAGAAGGCAAAAACAACTGGGCAATGGGCTGGGTGAATTCTGGACAGTAGTAAATTGTGACTATATTGTTTGCTTTTTGCAATATGAGATGATTGGTTATGGTTGCTCATTTGAAGCACAAAACTAAAAAAAACAGACAATGTAAAAGTCTAGAATTTCCCTATGTGACCGATAAAGTCCATTATAATTGTAATTTAATTTGGACCTGCTATGTCCTATAGCCCAACCTAGTGTTTGGACTTCCCACACCATCTCACCGTCAAAGATCTAGTTGAAGGATTTGCGTCACCCAGTGCTCCGATGGGGCACAGAGACAGAGACATTCCACTCCTGGACAGCCTGTGGAGGCAGGCCTGTGAGGACCAGGAATGGAACCATTTATTTGAGGTGCTAACTGAACATCGCTTATGGCCTTGAAGTGTTGTTTGTGGTTATGGATTTTACTTTTTCTCTCTTCAAAATAATTTTGAATAGGCAAGGGTCATGTATGCTGACCAGCAGTCTTGCCCCACCAAAACTAAGATTTAAACCAAGGTCAGAGTCTAGACACTTAACCACTATGCTAATATTGCAGAGTAAATTAGGTGTATCACTGTTTGGTATGATGTTGGTACCCTTGACGTGATTGTATGTGCGACCTTGCATAATTGTGGTTTGGAGATGAGAAGGACATGCAGTGCATACGCTTATATGTAAATGTGTATATTATATATATTATATGTAATATTCTATAAATATTATTTTCTATATTTTGGCATTATGATGATAAACGGGATATTGTTGCATAAAATATGACCCCTCACTCTCACACATCCAGCAATGGCTGTCTTTCTATTGGTAGAGAAGATTAGTCTTTAATAAACTTTGTTGAAGCCCAGTGTTGCAACTGATTTAATTGATTATATGAGGTAATTGATTACATGAAGGTGATTTTTACAACACAGGCCACACAGCCAGTGCTGGCCTGGGACAGTTTTAGTATTTATGGGTTTTCTACATTTCTGTTCAGTTGTTTTAAAATCTCAGTACTGGTTGTACTGGCTGAATTTGATTTTTAAAAAAAACCTGTGCAATAATATATTGAATCATGCGAGATCCTTCAGGTTGTTGGGGGTCATGATAAAGGGAGAAAATGCTGGTTTGTGTGTGTGTGTGTGTGTGTGTGAATGGGGTTGATGCTTTGCAATATCAATGTGACTGACAGATGCCCTGTAACTCTGTCATTTTTTTAATCTATAGCCAATTTCCCAAGAAATGATTCCTTACACAAGAAGAAGCGCTTTGCTAATGTTGTGGTTTGCAGGTTGTCAAATGCACTTTATAAATTCAAGACAGGGGACCTATTTGCAGAAAAACAAAACGGAACTGAAATGCAATATTTTTGTTCTCTGGGAGTAACATGTAGCTAATGAATTTTTAACAGTAAATGCTTACACTTCTGTGTATATTCAGTGTGTTTTATAAACGTGCTTTGCAGCCCTTGAACTGATAAAATATCATGCAATGTTTCTCAGCATTATTTTTCATCTGTGCTCCAGTTAGTATATCACTGTTACACTAAAGGCTTCTTAAAGTGGATGTTGTGTGAGGGAATATATTCTTTGAGGGACCATTCATGTTCCGCTATCGATACTGTGAAGTCATGGAGTGGCTCTCATAGACGTTCATGATTATGAACGGCCCCTGCATCAACGATTTAGTATCCCTTTTGCCAAATTAAAATAAACAAAAAACAAATAAATCATTTTCTGGCAGTAGTTTATGTAAATATTGCTTTACTCCTGGTTACATATGTGTTTGCTGCAAGGGGAACAGTATGTGCGGCCATGAGGGGGTTGACGTTTACTAAGGTGATATTTTAAGTAATTTTGATTTAAATGGGAAACATGACTTTTGTACCGCGGTGGTAATGGACACAATGTGTGCTTATAAAGACACTGTCATAGTTGTTGAAAGACTGTTTCAGATGGGATACAACTAAGTGGTCTTTGATTAAAAAATGTGTCTCCTTTATTTTAAATTGTATAACTATCAATTAAAGATGTATTATATAGTAATTGTACAATATCTGATTTTTTATGTTAGTACGACCATATCTTATTTGTTTCCAAATGGTTGCTGATCCCACAGATGACCTCTAAATTCGTTTCCTTGTCACGTACTACAGTATTTAACAGTATTGCTTCCTTACACGGACATTGATAATGCAATTTATATAACCACCTTCTCCATCTATCGCTTATACTTCGCCCTCTCCTGAAGGGAGCGGGGAACATCGACTCGGTTTTAAATAAGACTGTGAAAGCTGAGCGTGCGCCCCCTTCTGGAACTATTAACGACATGTCCTGTTCTTTTTGTGTAAATCCGTAAAATAAACAGTAACTCGCTGACTTTAATGTGGCCAGTAGTTCTCATTATATATTTTCCTATGTATTTCTGAACGCCGCACGTTGGTTCACGTCGCACCTGGAAGATGCGGGTCAAAATCCAGCCCCGCCTTCATCACGCATGGCGTTTGTCCATTTTTATGAGTACTTTTACAATCCCATGACTTCTTTTTACCGTAAAACACAGAACCTAAACTGCAATGGAGCAAGGTCCCAATGAAATGCACTCTATTTTTGGACATTTCTGTTACCAGGAAAGACTCCTGATCGCTGACAGCCTGCGTCTCAATTTAAATTTTATAATGAAAAAGACAGGGTTTGTATAGTGTTGCTGTTCTGGGTAAATAATAGAGGCCCATCCAGTTTAATACGTAGGGCCCAATCTTTTTCAATCATTGAAAGGAGTGTTGGTGCTCTCTAGTGGTAGTTACATATATATTACAAAGACGAAATGGTTTGATAATAAGTATGACGTGTAGTTATGGCTAGATATTTAAGACGCGTTGCAGTTCAAATTAATGGTGAGTGAAGTCAGATATACAAATGGGAAAACAAAATACAGTACATACATTTTTTAGTAATAGTGATACAACTGGAATGCAAAACTGTACATGTTGCCCCCTGCAGGAGAATTTATCGGCGCTGGTTTGTTCAATGTTCAAGCCAAACTTACGTCCTGATTAATTTAATGGATATTCACGGTTAGTTTATCCCAAGAAACATAGACCCACCCCGGGCAAAATATCAGTCTACCAAACGGTGTGTGTATGCACACACACACACACACACACACACTAGGGTGAGCACCTAATCCATGTCAGAGGGGACACTTTGAGCTACTAGAGGTTTTACAAACTACTTTAAAACTGAAAGGCTCTTGTGTTCGGCAAAATAATAATACAATTTTTTTTTTTTTTTACTTTTGTCCTGTCTGGCAGCTTTAGCAAAACAAAATGCCAAACATGTTTGCTTTACCATGAGGGGGCTCTATAAACTCTGTATAGCCCCCTCATGTTGATCAATTTCTTTTTATTTTATTTCTTCTTGTAGTTTGACTGGTTTGTTAGCTTGATTGAGACACTCATCCAAATGTTTCACATAACATTAGTGACACATGCATGATTATAGGAGACTGACCAATCAGCACACATTAAGAACTTGGTGCTGAAGTGAAATCCAAGTCATTTTAACTGAAAAGGTAGTTTACAAACTCTGTTCTAGCTCAAATTGTCCCCTCTGACATGGATTAGGTGGTCACCCTAACACACACACACACACACATCAAGTCATCTATAGGCTACCCCAAACCCATTGCAGACACAAAGACAGCACCCCACATAATCAGGGCTGTTGAAACAAATTTTTTACTCTGGATGTGCCAGAGCACGATGCCACCCAATGCTCCATAACACTTAATTTGAAATCTAAATTAGAAGTGAAGCGTATGTTGTGGTTGGCAGGCCAAAGTCCAGAATTCGAACGAATCGGAATTTTCCGCTGCGTTGCCGACATTTGTCGAATGGAAACCGGTTATTTCGTCATCTGATCGACCGGAAGCCGCTGTGATTCAACAAAGATGGCGTCTGTAACAACGGGTAAGTGACAGCGGACCATACGAACCGCCTCAATAAATCGGCAACGCGGTGATGGTTTTTAGTAAGTGAATGCTGTTATGAACTGAATTTTTATATATCTTTTGCATTTACAATGTTTATATTTGACAAGGAAGGAAGAGTTCTTACTCCGATTTGGTTTGAGTGACACAATGAACTAGCTATGTTGCCTGATTAAAAAAATACATCTGCATTTTAATTGATCTGATTTCCGAGGACTGGCTGATATGGGGGGTTTAAGGACAAGATGTGGTGTGTAAGAGTTAGGAGTACCGAAACAGTTTCTTAACTTTGTCTGTTTGCCTTTGAAGTCATGATACGAACACAACTAGTTCTGGTACTCTTCATCGCTATGTATATGTTTGCTAGAGGAACCAGTCGGTCTAGCTACTAATAATCATGAAATAGATTAAATAAAGCTTTTGTAACTGTGTCAACAGTTTGCGAATGTATGTAGCTGTATAAATATTTGCGAGATTACCAGTAAAACAAATAGTAGCTGGCAACAAAAGAACTCGGATCCTTAATAATGTTTTTTTTTAATTTGTGACCACGCATTCTTCATAAGTTCAAAAGAGCCTAAGTTTTGGCTTACAGTTCCTCAGTTATTCTATTCGCCACCTCAAAGTTATATTTCACGACACAAATAACTGGAAAGGAGTGTGCTTGTACTAGTTTGGGGAAAATGCCGCATTGAATGCCCAGCGGACCCGAGGGTGGGACATGCGACCTCATCGGTCTAAAAATAACCTCCAGCTGCCCCATCTAAGCATGTGTCGCCTCTTTTCGACATGGCATCTCCTCACCAGCTATTTTTGCACCTGCATTCGTCTAGTAACGGATTAATCGTGAAGGATTTAATTCTCCGTCGCATGCATTTAAGATAATTAGCACTGAGAAGTATAGAGTAGTGACATTTAGGGATGTATATTCATACTTCATAGCGTGGAGGTTGCGGTTTTCAGGGAGACTCTGCATAGTGCCAAGTCACCAAAGCTGCAATGCTCCTTTAAAGTTTTCTGCTGCATGTGTATCTGTGTGAAATTGTATATGGAAGCTAAGAAATTAAATTTAAAAATAATGTAAATATTCTTTTTTTATTCCAATAATCATAACACTTTTGGGAGGATAGTGGCATTTATAAAAAACAAGATACAACCACTTGTTTATGATGATTTATCCAAAATAAAATGTTTTCACCCCGCAGATTCTTTTAATTACAAAGATCACCTTTTAAAATATGCGTAGGGCAACTTTTGGTGCAGTTGCAGATCAGTTTATCCTAGGCTTCTTAAGCCGGCTGTTTTAAAATCGTTGCAATTCCCGAATTGACTCTCTTCCACCTGTCTCACCAGCCACTTCAGAGTGGATCCAGTTTTTCAAGGATGCTGGGATTCCTCCTGGTCTGGCTGTGAACTACGCCCTGTCGTTTGTGGATAACAGGTAATAAGCGTGTGAGAGATCTCTAAGAAGATCTACTTATAAAGCTGTCAGTGTGTGTACTTCACAGATGTCGATAGCATGAAAGCAATCGTACATTTAAAAACACATCAAAAACATATACATCAAAAGCAGAGTCTATGCTACAGTCACGGTGCAGGGTTGTATTTTGTATTAGTGTCTTATGTTAACAGGTACGAGGGTGCAAACAATGCTTTTATGTAAGATGTCAAAGACTGCGCTGCAGCATTCTTGAGGCAGTTTTCCTAACTGCACTTACTGGAGTCAAGCCTCAAGCTGTCAGGAATGGTTGAAAGTTTAAGAAGGATTAGTAACCGTTTTGCAGACACCTCTGTGATCAATGATAATATAATATGGTTTGTCAGCAGTTATATGATACATGTTTATTCGAAAACTGATCTCCTTTGTTTCCAGATTAGCTGGTTACTGGTATCGCTTGTGATATTTTATCTGTCGGAGTGAATTGAGTCTATCTCTAAATCAAAGCATGATTTGAAAAAATTCCACCTTCGCTGTCTGTGTGTGTCTGTGTTTGTCTGTGTTTGTCTGTGTTTGTCTGTGTGTGTCTGTGTGTGTGTGTGTTTGTTTTGCATGTTCTCCCTGTCATACTCTACTTTCAGACCAAAGACATGCAGTTAAAATTAACCTCTGACCGAGACGAGTGGGTAGCAGGTGGATCGGCAGTGTATCTGTTTGCAGCAATAGTAACTCGGGGAGTTTCTCTTACCGGCAGGATCCAGAAGACCATGCTGATGGATCTCAGTAAGGAGATCATGATGGACTTGGGCATCACTGTCATCGGTGACATCATTGCCATCCTCAAGCACGCGAAGCAAGTTTACAGACAGGTGTGGCTGTGTGAGGGTGTGCTGTCTGTGTATAAAATATAATCCAAGAGATTAAACTAAATCCTTTATTGCAGACACATTCACTGCTTTAAAATATTATGGCTATTATATCATTCCACTCAATTTCCGCAGTATATGTTACACTGTCAAAGTGTAGGTGTTCTGAGTTCCTGCAAAGCAGATGAGAGATTCTTTGCTTTAGGGTTTGTTTTTGAATTAAGAGAACAGGAAGCGGCTGTGAAATGAATTGGGCGTGGTTATTTATGTGATGTCGGGCATCACCTGGTTTAACCTCGACATTTAGTGGACCAGGAGTGGCTTAAGGCAGTGGTCTGTACTGAGTGTATCCTCAAAGTAATCGAAACATTTACTCCATGGTCACCCCCCCCCAGGACATGTGTAAGATGGCCACAGAGGCCATAACGTCGGGACAGACTAGCGTTCAGGCTGAGTTGAGGAGAACTGCCAACACACGTGAGTGTTTCCCTGACTTAAAAGGCACCGTTTACCATCATGTGTCGTCTTATTTTTTGTGTGTGTGTCATATACCTAATCTTTGCTCGTCTCGTGTGAGGATGCTCACGCCTCATTTGTTGATTCTCCCCCCCCCCCACCTTCTCTCACCAGCCGCCACACGAATGATCGCCAATGCATTGAGCAGGGAGTCCCCCCCAAGCACTCCGGTCCGTCGCCCAGACAACTGCCTCTCTGTGACAGTGTCGAACAAGCAGGCGGCCAAGAGCAACAAAGCAGGTGTGGTACAAATATTACTGCGGGCAACGTTATCAGATACAGGAAGGGAGTATCTTTGCAGGCCTGGGGCTGTCGCCATCACGTCACGATGTAATCGCCATTATATGGCGCATGCGCAATCATCCCCAGGGCTGTAGATGACGAGTGAAACATTTGTCCGGGCGCTGGTTTTTCGGTACTATACGGACAAATGTTTCACCAATCATCTAGAGTTCTGGTGATAATATCGCAATGTGATCGTGATAGCCCTAGTAAGCCCCACCTGATCACTTACCTCTTCCTTCTCCTCTGCCAAACCCCCCCCCTCCACGATCAGTGCTGAGCCGGACGGCGGATGAGGGCAGCGGCGTCCCGGTGAAGCGGAGGCGTGTGACGGCGGAAATCGAGGGGAAGTACATCATCAACATGCCCAAGGGGACAACGGCGCGGACCCGCCGTATCCTGGAGCAGCAGGCCAAGAGAGGTGCTGATGCAGATCTCCCTGAATGTTTATGGCCCATTAACTGTCCAACCTTGACTTTGCTGTACCCCAGTCTCCAAGATTTTACCTAAACTCAGCTGTAAAATGTCCCAGGAAATGCTTCTAAATTGGATGTTCGTATATAAAATATCGCAGATGCATCTAGAATTGCCCTTGTCTCCGTTGGTGTCACTTTAAGTGAAAGGGGCAGTTAGAATATAAGCAAAATGTCTGGTCACTAATATTTGCAAAAGAAAAAAAACTTTTTTCTGCACATATGAGCATTATGAATATACATGGTATCACCAGAGGTTTGGGCCCCATGAAAGTACATCACACGGGGCCCCTAATCCAGACCAAATCACCTAACCCAGACCAAATCACCTAACCCAGACCAAATCACCTAACCCAGACCAATCCAATTATGTTGTATATTTTTAAAGACCCCTGTCACTCAGGGGCTCTCATAATTATCCTACCTCACCCCAACCCCCTTTATGCAGAACTAATCATTATCCACTGGTTTAAAAAGAAATCGATTTGTATTATGTAAATATAAATACGTCGACTAGCACTATGCGTTGCAAGAATAGGAGAAAGGAAGAAAGACTTTATGAGACAAAAGCGGTGGAGATGGATCTGAGAGAAGCAGGGAGGAGGGGTGAAAACGAAGGAGAAGAGTGTTTGCGTCTATGCATGCGTACGCAGACGGCGCAGACGGCGCAGGCCTCGGGTCACTGAGAGGGGCAGCGTCAGACCCCGGGCACGTTTCCTGGGAATGAGAGAAACCAGCTCAGCCTTACTGATTTATTGAATTATTCCTGCCGAACCGACCAGCTGGTGTCTGCTGTTGACATAATAGGCCGTCTTGATATCCCGCATTCATTAAAGAATATATTTATAGGTAAATTCTGGGCAAACGGTCCGACTCCCGATTTGCATAGTGAGAATGGAGATCCGTCTAGAGACTTGAGATAAGGGCTGAAATATTGGCACCGATCCAGTGTCCCAATTAAATATATTTATAGGTAGTTTTTAAACAGATTCGGGCCACCACGTTTGTAAAAGAGGACATTTTGAAAATGAAGAGTTAGATTTTGAGTCTTTGGACTACATTAAACCTGTACATGAGCCAGTCCATTATTAAGCAGTATTGCCGATAACTGGTTGTTATTCAGCGACTCATTTTTCAATTCGTTATCGAATTCTATCCGGGTTGCTTTAAATCGATTATTTTTCTGCTGAAAGTCAAGTCAAGTTCAGTGGGGCTTCATTATGATGCCGTCCAAACCGAGGTGTACAGTGACATGAAATAATGTTTCCCCAGGTTCACAGAGCAACATACAGCTGAGAGAGAGAGAGAGAGAGAGAGAGAGAGAGGAATCCTTTAATGGGTCACTCATGAGGACACAAGAAAAACTAGGATAATATTTCAAAAGAATTTTTCTTTTTAAACCAATGGATAATGATTTGTTCTGCTTCTTAGGCATATCTGTACAAGTTTCCAGTTTTTTAAAAAAAAGCAGGATTTCCTCTGTAAGCATGGGGTCTTATTTGAGATCTGAGGGACTTTATGATCAGAGTTTACGGCAGAACCAAGAGTGAAAACAAAGGAAAATGGCAAAAGGTCTGTAGTAGTTCACTCTGCAAGATTATCGGTGCCATTTAAGGGAGAAGCATGAAGATTTACTGGAACTGTGTACGTGTTTTTCTTGCAAAACTGGAACAATGAGCTAAGAATGAGCCAGCTGTACTTTGCTTTTTTAAAGAATGTTGTTTATTGATCTCTTTTTAGAGAAGGCATTGAAACGTACCTCAGTGTTTGAGAGGCTTGGAGCCGAGACCAAAGCGGACACTACCACCGGGAGCAAGGTGAGTCCTCCGCGCGCTACTGCCTCTCCTGGCCTCATTAAGGGCCGTTCGGGGGAGGTCTGCCTCAGCCTCTGACCGTGCCATGTCCGTTTGTCCGTGTCCTGCTCCCCAGCCGACGGGAGTCTTCAGCCGTTTGGGCGAAGGTGACGCAGAGGAGGATGACGAGACGTCAGCGAAGGTGATAAAAGGGGAGGAGGCGGGGAGCGACGGGGAGGACTCCGTGTTGCAGTATGCCGGCGTCCTTAAGCGGCCCCCAGCCTCGCAAAAAAAAGGCCCCGCCCCCTCAAGCCAGCTGCCCCCCAGGCTGCTGGGCAAGAAGGTCCCCATCACTCTGCGCCGGCTAGGCAAGAATCAAATCAAATCAAAGCCGCCCGCCGCCCCATCCGCCCCCGCTCCCCCCACCAACCCCCCTGCCCCCTCCACCAATCGCACCCCTGCCCGCAAACCCAGCATCCTGAAGAGACTCGGCAAAGTGCCCCCAGCGCACGGCTCTGCCAAGGCCGTGGGTGCCCCGCCGGCCGCCCCCCCACAGCCCTCGGACACGCAGGACAGTCGCATCACCAGCACCAAAACCAAGGGCGGCTTGGGCCTCATGCTGGCCAGCTCTAAGGTTAGCAGCAGCACTGGTGCGCTGGACTGCCAGGGCGCCCAGATGGACCACGCCGGGACGGTCAGCGTCTTTAAGAGGCTGGGCATAAAGAGGACCTAAAACACGCCTGACCAATGGCACAGGGCCTCCGTTTTATCCCCTAAACTCCTAACAGTCTCAGTACACGATTCTGATTGAAGAGAAGCAGCCATAGCAGAGACATGAGGAGACACAGTTTACGTTTCAGCTCATAAGCTTATGACTACTGTGGTATTTCTGAAAAAATAAAGAGTTTTGCTGTTAGGATCGTCAGCGCAAGCTGACACCGGCTGCTTGAGGCGTCCCGACACTCCGGCGATGAAGGGGCAGCTCGATCCAGGCCCTCTTCACTCGATCTGGGCCCTGCAGGAATGAACTTTCCCTTTTAATTACCTCATTTCCTGTCATTTTATTTTTGGCTATTTCGTTTATCATCGATTTTAATTATTTTATTTTTTTTACACCTAAACCATTGCCTTATTCATGGTAGTTTTTTTTTAAGAATATTTGGGGCATGGTGCAGACAATGCTGGAATTTCATGGTTCCGCACAGTCACAAATGTAGGCGATTTAAGCCTAATTGGGTTTATTCATAAACGTCGTATTAACCCACGTGAAGCGAAATAGTTGCAACAGTAACGTAAGAGTGGCAGGCAGGAAAGTTCCCCACGGGGGCTTTGCCAGCTAACGGGTTTGCATCAGTGGCTCTGCTTCATGCCCTTGTTGCTCCCTGTTGACAGGCAAATTATCGGGCAGCTATTTTTTAAATTTCATTTTATTACCTTCATCTTCTCTGCAGCTGAACAATGTTCTTCCCAAGTTGCCAGATGGCCGTTTTGTTCAGTGGGGAATTTAACCGATATGTAGTGTTAATCACCCAGAGAACACCAGGCAAATCGGTCAAGTGATGAATCCATCCGCCTGTCGACTCGATTTCATGGCATCACACGAATGGCATTTATATGTACATGTGTATTTTTTCCCCTTTTGTTGCCAACTTAACCAGCATCAGCTTAAAGTTGAATGAGCTTCAAATGAATCAATACACTTCGTTCCTGAGGTGGCTGTAGATTTTGCGCAATTTAAGCCAATTTTTCTATGCGTGTTATAACATGCATTGTAACTTAATTAGGCCTATGTAAAGTAATTAGCCATTATACATTTTATTTTGATGTGACACTGTAACTGTGTTATTTTTAATATGTAATGGAACTGGTTACTAGTTTCTTTGTCATGCCGAAATGCTCCTGAGATGATAAAAAAAAGGTTTAAAATCATCTAATGGATGTTCCTGCTTCAGTCTTTCCAAACTATTAAAGAGTAACTTCTGCCATCTTAGGATGGGGGCATTGAATGAACCAAATGGTAGTCTTCGGGAGGGGTCTCTCAGTTGGTTTAAAAAAAAAGTGGCGTTGTCACGTATGTATGATTAATGCCAGCACAATGACGCGCCTTCTGTGAGAAGCTGAACACTGCCACCTGGTGGTAGGTTATTTAATGTGCGTATGCTGTTTTTTTTTTTTTGTCCAGTCAATCCCTAATTAGGCTCCTTGGTTGTGGGTAAGCTTTGGTCAATACTGTTACCTGATGGCTACAACATAGAACTCTGTAAGAAATGTATGGACGAGTATTTTTATTAATCAATTTTTGTTTTGCTTCTCAAAACGATGGCTGAGGGGCTATAAGCGAAAAGCTGTTAATTCAGCAGTTAATTCTCTGTCGGAAAGCAGAGTAGCTATGTTGAAGTAGGTAGCATAATGAAGGTTAATTATCGCAAAAAGCAGAAGAGTGGAGTTTGGTCCAGGGCGTCGGCTGAGGACCTCAAACATAAGGAATGTTTCCTTTGTATGGAGCAGTTCTTCCCTGATCATGAAGCTAATTCACCATTGGTCCGTACAGACTTTTCAAAGTCAGGGGTAAAGGTGCCTTTTCAGAATACGACCTCCCTTGTTGAAAAGTGCTCAGAATCGCATGTATTATTCACTTTGTGCTGCAAGGCAGAAGCACAATGAGGGGTATTAACTGACTGCACCATGTTTTTGGCAAAGACCAGCAACCGTTGAAGCAGATCTACTCTGTGGCAACGACAATGTGTAGGCCTACCGATTCCATCCATCCGCCCATGGTTCCATTGTAAGTAGTCAGATAACTAACTTTCCTGTATAGTGGTTCCTAGCCGCTCCATGGGATTTCCAAGATGCCGTCCATGTGATGCGTTCCTCTGGACTCCACCTTTAGGACTCCATGCCCCATTGCCCCATAAAAATGTTCACCGTGGATGGAAAAATACACAAGTACACCACACAATCGCTTATAAAATCTGAAGTGCTTGGTTGCACATTCATCCGGTGGTTCTGGTATGTGCCGGTCTTTTTAGAATGATTTAAATTTTGTAATCTGTGGTGTTTGGATAATTGCTGTAACATATGGAACGTTTTCAGAAGGCTACGTGTCGTGCTTCTAAATTGCCCTTTCAGTCATTTTGGTACGTTAATCAGGAAATGACTTGATTGCATTTAAAATTTTATGAATAGAGACAGAATCAGCATCGTTACCATGGTTTCTCCACATCTACGGTATGGTCTGATCTCAGATCTGCGGAAAATAAAGTTAATGATGTCCAGGATGATAACATCTTTGGATCTTTGCGATTGCAAGCTTTTTTTAAGCATGCTTTGTGGTAGTTCTTTTCTTTCATTGGATGTATTTTGACTGGGCGAGAGACTGGCTGAGTTTAGTTGCTGCCGAACACATTTAATCTTGCGGCATAAGCACAGATTTTTATTCTGAGCGACTTCAGATTCTGCACGTGCATATAAGTGAATAAAAATAGGCCTGCGGTTATTTATTTAGTTTTTTTTTTATTACTGCAGATTTATTTTTGATCCAGCTTTTTATATACCATAGTGACAGGCCTATATTTGCGACAGTAGATGTTACAATACCAACATATTTATCAATATGAAGCCTCTGCAATATCTAGCATACACCACATTAGTTCTGATTCTTTAGATTAATTGAATATATTTATTTTTACATCTGCCCATTTGTTGGCCTCAAATGTTGAGCCTTACCTGCCTTTGCTAGGTTTAATTACTTTTAGTCCAAAATACTACAGCTTGTGTGGTTACAAAAAGTATATTATCTGTTATTAGACCTAACACACGTAATCTATAGCTATATAAAAGTTTGTTGTGATTGCTTTGATCCACATTGAAGTACAATATCAATTATTCGGTAGTAATAATGACATCACTAACCACATTAATAATAAATAATCGTGTTTGTTTATTATTTGTCGATTTGTTTTACTATACAACTAAAAATCAAGTAGACGTCGATAAATAGTAATGCTGATTTACTTCCAAAAAAGGACTGGAAGAAAAAACAGAAGCGATTTTCAGCAATCCAGTCAGCAGGGGCGAAAGAGTGCACGGTCCTTTAATAAAACGCTGACATCTCCAAATGTATTATTTCAGTCTTATAGTACAAGACAAAGTAACTATTCATCACTTCTTATTTTGCATGAACGCCCATTCTATAAATATGAATACAACTCTGCATGTAAAACAAACCAAATCACTTTGTAGCACGTCTCTCCGAGTAGAAACTAACGAAGGCGCAGTATCTGTATAATGATACGTTTTCTACGTAATGATTTATGTAGGATATTTTTGGATTCAGCAGAAAGTAGGGGCCGACTGACTCTCCAAGTGAGTGGTCATACAAGTGACACAAAACACTCGGTCATAATTCAGGGCATCATCGTAGCCCGATGCGACCAAAACTATACGACGTTTAAGCATCTTATTTTGTACGTAAGTTATTTTGCGCGACCTGTGTTGTTGAGATAGGAGCGCACGATTGAGTTGTTTTCCTGGTACCGCGGCGTGCACGGTTGTGTGGATCCTACGCCGGTGGTGCTGCAGCCCTACACGACTCTGCTTTTTTCCCACAATGCAGCGCGGCCCCAGCCTAAGTTCGCTGTCTGTGGTGCTGAAGCTGCGCGGACCGGCGGCTCGATCTCAAAAGGGAAAACAAAATCTGGCGATCGTCCTTCTCAGGCATCCTTCTCGACAACACCACTGAGCCAGTGCACGCCGAGGGATAAAAGCACCACTACAGAAGCAAGGAAAACAAAACAAACAAAATAATAATAATAAAAGGTTTTCGTGTATTATTCATAGGGAATTCTCACGCTACATTTTGCCTTGCATATATTCGTGTGCTGTGTTTTATGTACGCCCCTGTTTCTCGATTTTGTCGCTGAATCCACTATTCCGTTTTTTTTTGCCTCGTACCCTTTATGCACAGCACGCTGATCCAACCTTTAGAAAGAAAGCAGACGCTGGTGCCCGAGCATCATGGCTTTCTGCTATCGGGCGCATTGAACGATATGGAAGCCAAGCAGCACTCGATCAAGAGCCTAAAGAGCTACCCGGAGACGGGGGGCCGGAGCCTAGCAGCGGCAGCGGGTGGGGACGTCGGCGGAGGTGTAGTAGGGCATCGTGCCGGAGCGGAGCTGGAGATGGACGCCAAGATACAGAAAGCGGTGGACTTTAAAGCGGAGGGTCATCGCTGTTACAAGGAGAAGAAATTTCGGGAAGCGATCGGGAAGTATCACCGGGCTCTACTGCAGCTCAAGGGGGTCCATGTCGCCGAAGGGACCACGGGCTCCGAGGTCAACCTGCTGAACCAAGCCGCGGCCAAGCTTACGGAGGAGCAGCAGAGAGCTGTGGAGAGCACGGAGATCGAGTGCTATGACAGCCTGACGGGTAAGACTGAGCCTCCGTCAGCCTTTTGCTCCATCTTTTCTGGGAATCTAGTTCTTTCCACTGCCATTGTTCGCTCCGGCTTGCAGCTATGAGAGGAGATGGGGGAATCGTGGCATTGCTAGGTGTAGGCCGGCATTGTTGCTGGGCTGCTCATTTGGGATCCAATTAATCTGATTTTCCCTTGCACTAATAAGAGTGTATTTATATGGAAAATGTGGCAATAAATGCCGTCAAAAGCGCTCGTCGCTTTCGGTTATTTTTTGTACTGTTGTTTTCCTGTGCTTCAGTCTGTTTGTAATAGAAATGTTTTTTCCCCAAGATGTTATGGATCATTAATCATTGATCACGCCTGTTTCGCTGTACAGTATTCTGTTTTATTCTGCATGCGTATTAAACCCCGTGTTCTTTGTCTGTTTAGTTTTGGGTCTAGTTATTAAACACACGCCTTTATCACGTTCACTTCAGCTATTTTAAACATCCCCTTTGTCTTATTCCCCAACTCGCATTTGGTAACCCCCTCTATGCTTTTCAGCATTCCCCGCATCGTTATCCGTGATATTTTGCTTGCAATATGCACCACTAGTGACAGGCACGGTTACCTGGCGGCTAGGTGATCTGTCAGGTTCCAGCTTATCTTATATGAGCACGACCGAAATATCGCAACCCTGAGCACAAGTCTGTATCTCGCGGGCACAGTATGTTTCCATAAACCACTCTGATCACATTGCACCACTTCTGTGTTATGAGGGATTCTGTGAGAGCATGTTGTTTGATCACAGGTGTAGATTTGGGAGGGAAGGGGGGTCACAGCGGGGGAGCGTGACATCCCCCATTATGGGGAGGCGTGTTGGATTTTTCTATAAGTGGGGTAGCAATATGCTCATCAGTGTCTTCAGCAAGCATACGTACATGTTTGTCAATTCAGTCTAAGTGTAAGAAATGTACATTTTGAGATTTTGATAGTTAAAAAAAAGCCCATACTGGGCAAATAGTTGTTCTGGTTTATTTTATTATTTATTGGAATGATTTTCTCTACAGTCAGTTTCTCTATCGTCCGATAGTGATTTTGAAGATGCAGGGGAACTGACCTTCCATCACCTGGCCAGTGCAGTTTTAAAGGAGCGATAACTCCTCCAGAGCTGCCGCCGCAGCGTCCTCACGCCCCGCAGCCTGTGTCGTGCAGGGACGCGGCGCGCTTCCATCTGATGTTATTTCTCTGTTTATTTTCGGTGCTCATCTGGCAGTTCGGTCTTCTCCATATCAGTTGTTGCTGGAGGCCCGGTGAGGTGTGAAGGATAAAAGGGAGGGGTGGAGGGAGGGCGGTGTTTTTACTGCCGCCGCCGTGGGCTTTTATTTTTCTTCCCCGTTCCGCCATTCGAACCGCTTTTCCTGCGCTTTCAGGCTTTGGATTGCGGACGCCGCGAGATGTGAAATTGAATCATTATATTTGGACGCAGTGGTTTCTACAAACTCTCACAAAGGAGTTTTAAAAAGCAGGGGTAGATCGCCGCCCCTAGTTTTAGGGGACAGCCCCGGCGGGGGGAGCTTTCGGCAGGAGACAGAACGGACGGCATTATCTCTCCTGCATTTATACTTGACGTGCTGGTTACGGAGAGCAGCAGGTGCTGGCTGCTGGGAAGGATGGAGTCCAGATATCCGATATCCTGTCACACCCCCCACACCGCTCACAATGACACCAGTAAACTTTGAGACATTTTCCTGTAGTGAGTGCATCTCTGTCCCTGTGCCCCCCCCCTCCACCCCAGGACTGCCTGTTTGGTGAGGTAGGAATCCTCAAAATGTATGGATTGTCGCACCAGTGAGGTGAAGTCTGATAAAAGAGATGGGGCAGTGGGTAGAGGACTAAATAATAAGAAAAAATAAAGAACGAAAATACAAAAGATAGAAAGATTAAATAGTGCATAATAACATATATCATGTTAAAATCAGTATGATGTAAAGTCTGTTGAATCATGGTGAGTGAACTGATATTTCCTGATATCCCTCATTATTATAAAAGGACTAAAGGACGTGTTTTTTTTTTGTTTCCTTGTTTGATGAGACATCACGAGCTGCCCCATTGAGGCTTTGTATTGCAGCTCTAAGTGGGTTGTTTTATTTTCCGCTTTGCACGCACTCTAACTTAGACGCCCGGGTCAGCGAGGCCGCGGCCGCGCCCTTCATCGCACGGCTATTTAAAGATTTCGCTGCGCCGATGGAGCGGAGAAGTGTGCCGGGAAAGAGCCCCGCGGTCCGGGCAGCGTGTGGAAAGGGCGTCGTCCCCCTCCGAAGCTCTTCCGCGTTTGCGCACTCTAAATAAACATGGGCGCTGTTTTGGCACTCACACCCAAGCCTGTTTAGTTTGTTTTGTAGGTGTCGTAACATCGACGAAGGTTTTGCAGTTTTTGGGCTCTAAATCAGCTGCGTAGTTGATGGCTTTTATCACTTAACGAGCTGGCCTGGCTGATGACACTCAGGAAGAGCATAATAATATAATGATTATTCATTAATAGCTAAAAATATTTCACCCTATATATGTCCGGCTAATGAAACTCATAAATTTTCCTCTTAATCTCAGGAAATGGAGACAGTGAGCCTTGGTCTACCTCGTAGGTAGGGCAGTTCTACGTTCCTTTTATATCTGATGTTCTATTGTTGGGTCTATGATTTATATTTCTATGCTGAAAGGTGAAATCAGCATTTTTGTTACATCATCCCTATTACCCCTCGTTACCATCAACGGTAACAAAGGGCTTAAAAGGATTTATCTAATGTCATGTGAACTTACAATGAACCTCTTAGCCCCTCAGACAAAAGGAAAATCCCAAACTTCTCATCTTCTTCTTCCTCTGCCAAAAAACGCCACATGTCAAGAGAAATAAAAGAACATGAAGTGAAATGGGGGGGGGGGTCTGCGCGGGCATGCTTCTTCTCACGTGGGGAGAGAGTGCTGAGGCCTCCGAGTGCCAGGTTTACAGATGGCATGGCCTTGGCACAGGGCTCTGCTGGGCACTGAACCTATTGTACTGTACCATTCCTTATCACATTCACTGTACTGCGCTGTGTACTGACCCATTCATTGTACTATGCCGTCAGCTTCTACGGCTTACACTGTGTACGGTTGTTCCCTACCAATCACAGCACTGTCCTGTCCACTGCAGCACTCTCTGTACTGTCCCCTACCAATCGCAGCACTGTCCTGTCCACTGCAGCACTCTCTGTACTGTCCCCTACCAATCGCAGCACTGTCCTGTCCACTGCAGCACTCTCTGTACTGTCAATACTATACTCAGTTTCCCAACACAACACTCACTGTACTATCTCCTACACCATTAACTGTACCCAGAATTCCGGTACAACACTCAGCAGCAGTAACTATATTCAGTTTTCCACCACAGCACTCCCAGTACTCTCCCCTACACTATTTAGTATGCTCAGTTTTCCAGTGTAATGCTCACTGTACTTTCCCCTACACCATTCACTATACTCAGTATTTTAGTACAACCCTCACTATACTCTCCCTTACAGCAGTTGCTATACTCATTTTCCACCACAACACTCACAATACTCTCCCCTACACCATTCACTATACTCAGTATTCAAGTACAACCCTCATTGTACTCTCCCCAACAGCAATCACCATATGTCCCAGTATAACTCACTGTACTGTCTCCTACACTGTTCACTATACCCACTTTTCCAGTACAACACTCACTGTACTCTCCTCTACCCCATTTTCTATGCTGAGTTGTTCACCACAACACTCTCCACACTATCAAGTGCACCATTCATTCTACTCAGTTATTCAGTACAAAAGTTATTGTTCTGTACTCATACTCCATTCCCTACAATGCATTGCCTGCTACCATATTTACTGTACTATACTTTACATCATTCATTTTTCTGTGTGTGCTGTTCTTCAGCTTATTCATGATAACACTATTTACAGTACTGTACCCTGCGTTATTTACCATACTACAGTATATTCAATCAGGTATAGTGTAATGCTCTGCACTTTTTTCATTATCTTTGAACTGCTTTAACGTAGTATAGAGGGAACAAAGGCAGGAGGAAGTGGGGGTGAGGATATGAGGTAATGGGTGGGGGGCGCGTGAAGTTTTGGTCATCAAAGGGAAAAAAGCGATGAAAGGATTCCGGGGATATGTTCTGTAATTATTATGTTAATTGGCGATATTTTTGCCTGTGATTTTATTTTTCCTTTGTATGTAGGAGGATGTGAGGAGCTGCAAAAGCGCTCATTTAAATGCTCGGTAAGGGCAGGAGAGCTCTTGTCGGGCTGGTAAATAAGGGCCAGTTGTTTGTGCGAGCGTGTGAGAGCGTTAGCGTTAGCGACAGGGATAGGGAGTGGGAGAATGGGGGGGGGGGGTTAGCGGGGCCCTTATTTGGTTTGCAGTGGGAAGCCACAACATAGCAGCTGGAGGCAGAAACAGATGCCCAAGAAAATGACACAATAAACATGCCGAGAGAGAGGAAATAAACGGCAGCGGAATCGTCTCTGTCTGAGGCCATGGGCCTACTTTGGGGATTTGAACAAATGACCTTGCTGGAGCCACCCCATGTGATTTCAGACTACAGCACGCCGTCAATGCCTCAGATGTCCGTAGTAAGATTGGGTGGAATATTACGTTTGCGTTAACATAATTTTTAACCCCTGGCAGAAAAATGGCGTGTGAAAACTAATCCCGGGGTATCTGATTTTCTGTAATTTAAGGCTCGATTGTTCCAGCTGGACTTCCTTTACAGGTGGGACGGACTGGTTAAGTTGGGGACAGCATTGCAGCTCTCAGGAGCCTCTGTTAAACATCTGAGCGTGACACAGCAGCTGCTGATGGTGTAGTAACAGTTGCTTGTATTGGTGCAGTAGTGACCAGACGCAGTGTTCGTTCGGCAGCATGCAAATGGTCGCCCCGCATTCGTTTCTCTGGTCTCCGTCACGCAGCAGCGTCTGCTGGGGCTCGGTGGGCTTGGACAGCTGCTTT